CCCCCCCCGGTCCCCTTCCTTCTGTTTTCTTTTTTTTTTTTTTGTGTGTGTATAGGGTAAATAACATTGAAAACACAATGCAATTAGTTTTACCGGAAAATCAAGCAGAATAACATTTATTAGCTACTGTTGGTTTTCATATAACTCAGAAATTTGTTTCTGCATTGTTTTGTGTCAACATTATTACTAGATTTGGATATACACCAACATAGCATAGTTGTTGCTATTACATCTTTTGAGAGGGATTGTCAGACATTCAAAACCAGTCTCGACATTTGGGCTCCATTTTCTACTTTACATTTGATTGTTTTTTCGCTCTAAAGCTCAAATACCTACAAAGACAAGAATCTTGTACACTATGATGTATAATTAAACCAAGTATTCTTATAGTAGGCCTAATATAGGGTTCAACACCCAGTTTGAGTTACATGTGCACTGGGAAAGTCCCTAACTTTCATGGAAGGATGTGGTGCCATTAGAAAATTATGACAAACAAAAGAAGATAAATTATTTAAAATTTGTTTACCGTGGATAAGTAATTTGTTTCTTGGAATAAAAAAATTGAATGAATAGTTGATTAAAAATCGTATGAAAAATAAATCATAACCATGTCTTCATTGGTATGGGTGTGAACATTTGGGATTTCAAAAATAATTTCAAAAGCAATTTTGAAAACACGATGTTAGTACTAAGCTTGACAAAATTCATGATGGTATATTCAACATGAAATCGATATGAAATTTAGACTTAATAAACTCATATCATGTTACACTCAAATAATTATGAGTTATAACCGTCCATAAGTCTTGGGGTTTTGAATCAATGATTGGGTTCATAATAATTTGTATCAGAGCAAATACCACGTCATGAGTTCAAGTCATAGAAAGGGGTGATCTATAGGTTGAATTAAAAATATTTTAATATTATATATAAACATAGTGCTATCGAGTTAAATACTAATTGATGAGTGAAGCCATCAAAAGAGAAAAGGCTACAGTTGTGCCAGTGTTGATATAGTGAATTGTCGGTTTTAAACATCGTAAAATATTACATCCAAATAGTTATGAGTTATAACTTCTCACAAACGTTGGGACTTTTGAATCAACGGTTGAATTCATAACATATCATAAAACTAAATTGATTGATCAAACTGATCAATCTATATATAAAAAATAATCAAATTATGTGAAAAGTGGCTCGAGAAACTTTTCCTTCCACTTTTCTTTTAGATTTTTTTTAATTCAAAACTTAAAGGCTCCCTCCAATCAAATGTTAATATGTGTCATTGATAATTATCCATCAATTTTTCAATAACTAACTATTTTTTTAAAAAAAATTCAAAAATATCATTTTTTATTACCTAAATATTTATTTAACTTCTCAAGTAATAAAATTAAAAAAATTTAAAAAAACATGAATTATAGTTTTGTGCATGGCAGGGGGCGGCTACCGATTTTAATATATGAATGAACAAATTTATTTACACAACACAACTCAAAATGACACACTCTCGACTATAAAATAATTAAAATTGAGAATCAATCCGACACAATTCAACCCCCACTATCAGCCTTAATTAGAGTGATCCAACCCGCAAATATACGTTTTACGGTACCTCACACCACAGTGGATAGAGCATAGACGACACATCTCTGGGACGAATTTACGTTAAAACTGAAGGCAGCCGCCGTGTGCGCACCAGGCGCATACGCATTATCGAATTTCCGTCGGTGATTGAAGTCCACCGGAGACCTAAAATCCAGGTACTCTCCGTCAAGCCTAATTCTATTAAACTACATCGTTCACAAATCTGTAGTGAAAAATCACACATTCGAGTGTGCGCAATCAAAATCTTTTTTTTTTCCTCTCAATTTTGAAGGTTCGATGCTGAAAGATAACGATGTCTCAGTCATGGACATCGACGATCAGAATTCGAACGGTCCTGATCAGATATCTAACCCCAAGTTCTCAATCAATGGTCTTCTCTCTCTCTCTCTCTCTCTCTCTCTCTCTCTCACACACACACACACATGTATATAATGCATGTATATGTATATATATGTTTTTGCACGGAATGAATTAATTTGGACATGGGTTTGCAGTGTTGCAACTCTTGAGATCTTCTCAAATGCAGCATGGATTACGGCATGGTGATTACATTCGCTACCGGTACGAAATGTGTAAGCGTTGTAGGTGTTAGTGTAAAAAAATTCTATATTTTGGCTTCAATTTCGTGGTATAACTGGTAATTTGGAATCAACTCGATGGAGTTACAGGAGGTACTGTACTGCTAGATTGCGGAGATTATATAAGTCATTGAAGTTTGCACATGGCCGTGGTAAATACACCAAAAAAGCCGTAACCACATCTACAATAACCGAAGTGAGGTGTGTGTTTTCCTCATATTGTATTCTACTATGAATGATTGTTGTCATTGTATCAATGAGGGGAAGTGAACTTTATGCTCATATACTTGTTTTGCGATGTAGTGTTAGGATGAATTGCGATAGAGTCTTGTCAATCTGTGGCATCTTTCTTCATTTTTGATGTGTTCGAGAAACGTTTGCATTAAAACTCATCTGTTGGCCATAAGCAAGTACGGAATTATGGACACAAGTCTCCAGTTTCTGAGGGGATGTAGGTACCTTAAATCAAGACTCACACAAATTCAAAGAGGTTTATGGCATCCATTTGGCCAGACTCAATATATGTGAAGGAATTCTTTGTTCAGGGACCTTTATAGTAGTAAAGCACGTTCTTTTTCACAGATTTTTTGACTCCCTCCCTCTCTCATACTGTAGACGGAGTCTCAAATATAACTCGGTTTTTTTTTGAAGAATTGTAAAATTGTTACATCTGCTTAAAGAGCCCATTCCAAATAAAGTTGCATCTCCAAAAGTGATGTTATATTCAACGGGCATTACTTGTCACCTGGTTTCGTAATATCCACTTTTGGTGTAGAAAAGGTTTCATATCCCTTTTTTCTCATCACTCAGTCTGTCATGACATCTGCTCTGCTACAATTATATTTTGTCCACATATTGGTGAAATCAGATTGCTAGTTGCAGGCTAGATCCTGTTGAACTGAAGAATGGAAAACGTCTATTTTGTGTATTAGCTGGCTTTTATTTGTTTCGGTGGCTATAATGTGCTATGGACAATTATATATTGGTTGTCTGATCTAGTTAAATAAGAATTGTAATATAGTTACCCTATATTAAAAGGTTAGCAAGCCAAAATTTCCCACGAATGGTACATGTGTCTGAACCCAACATAGGTTTCTCCACTTGGTTCTTTATACGACAGAAAGAGCTTGGAGTCATGCCATGGAGAAGAAAATGCTGACACTGCAAGATGGTCCAAATGGGCGCCAACGCATACCTCATTGGTAGGCTGAGGAAGGCAGTTAAATGGGCTACTCTTTTTCAAGATTTGTGTGTCATCAAGGGAGACTCCAGAACATCTTTGGAAGCTGAGGTGTGTTATTATGTTCTGCTAAGTGGTCTATTACTTTTCATGGGAATTCGCTTTTTAGAATATCGAGTTCATTTTAAACTTTTTTGACAACATTCTCACTATTAGGTGTAAGATCACCATATGCCTTAATATCCTAGTAATTCCTTACTTGTTCTGAAGTTTTTTTAAGCATTTGATGGCATTTATCAATCATGAAGTTTTAATATTATGTTCTGTTGTAGACACAGACAGTTTCTTTAGCTACAGTTTTTGGAAATAGAGTCCGTCAACATTAGCTCACCCAGTGTTTTGAAAAGTTCGCCTAGGCGAGAAGCGAGGCGAGGCGAGCTTATCTCGCCTGGAGGACCCCAGGCGAAGCGAGAAAAAAGCGAGAAAAAGCGAACGCTTTATTATAAGAGGCGATTCTGCTTCCCTTTTTTTTTTTCTTGATTACAGGTTAGTAGTCTCTTTTATTTTTTAATCAATAATGACTTTTTTTTTAAACTATCGCTGGTCTATTTTTTTTTTTCTAATAAACAATGTTTCGAATAAAACACATTTTTTTTTTCTTGTGTTGCTGAATTCATTTAGAATATTTGTGGGATGTGGGAGTCAGGCGACTGCATGACAAAATTATGATAAAGAAAGGAAGCAGAAGTATCAGGAATGAGGGTAAATAATAGAGTCTTCTACAAAGAAGTGTCTCTGATATGTCTTGGTTATACTTTTTCCTTTTCTTATATATATACAAATGGTACCAAAAAAGTGGTCTATGCTTATACCATGTTTAATTATTTTAGTACATGTGAAATGTGCCTCTGTTCTGCTTTTTTTTATTCAGTATATAATTACATATGAAATTGTTTACAATTGATTCTGCTCCTGTCATGATCATTGTGCTTCTGTTTTTTTTTTTATCCTCATTCTGCTTCTATTTTTTTTTGTTGATTCTGCTGCTGCTTCGGTTTTGCTGTCCTGTGCTGCTTCTGTTTTTTTTTATCCTCATTCTGCTTCTTTTTTTTTTGTTGCTGATTCTGCTACTGTCCTGATTCTGCTTCTTTTGTTGTCCTACCCTATCAATATGAAAATGTATACAATTGTTAGTATTTGTTTGAATTTAAATGTTTAAGTTATGACAGTTATTAAGATTTGAGATATTATTAGTGTTTGTTTTAATTTAAATGTTTATGGTTTTACTTGCATTTAAATATTTAGTATATATAAAATTAGAACTTAGATTGTTTAGAAGTAATTAAACTAAAATATATATTTTTTTTAACTGTTAGCTTTGCTTCGATAAAGCGTGTCACTTCGCTTCTCGCTTCTCGCCTAGGCGTTAGGAGCCTTGGTCGCTTCGGTTCGCTTTACGCCTTAAATAACACTGAGCTCACCTATAGGTTTACGTGTGGGTTTTGGAAATGCTGAAGGAAATCGGAACTCAAACATCTTGCAAAAAACGCCTAACTGATTTAATTAATATCATGGCGTCTTCTGAACTTATCAAATTCAAACAATAAATAAATCAGTTCAAAAATAGTTATCATCAAAAGTTAAAATCCTCGAGAAAGACTTGGTCCATATTGTTGAAAGAGATGGTTGATCTTAGCTTATACCAACAAATTAATTGTGATGCTTAGTTACAAGATTAATCAGTTGCAAGCCTGGATGCTTCATTAGGAACTCTCTTGGTAAAGAGGTAAGCAAAGCAAACCAAACAAGGAACCTTTTTGAACAATAATGGTCATCATTTCGTGATGAACCATAAATTTCAGATTTTATTGGACTACAATGATAGCGGCTACCATATGCACTCTTTAGTTAGATAAAATGTGAAGTTAGATGTTTAAACAAAAGGAGTGACTTTTCAAAGGGAACAAAAGAAGTAATGCAATGCTTGAGCTTAACCCATGCAAGTTTTACATCTTCGATTCAGGCTGTATGTGGTAAGTATAACTCATACAAGTCCTTTGATCATGCCCCAACAATTTGATCCAACAAGATCAGTCCTTCAATTTTTTTTTTTGGGGTTTATTCCATTCAAAAGTAGAAGTATGTGGTCCATCAGTTGCTTGTAAAAATATGCTGAGTACATTGTCAAAATAAAATCTTGCTTGGTTAGTTGTTTGCAAGAAGGTAAATGCAGATATGATGTGTCAAACATTTGCTGTGCTTCCTCATTCTGGCATTTTCAGTGATTTTTTATTTCTCAAGTGGAGGCATAGATGCTTTGCAAAATGACGTGCAATAATTGTGTATTATAAGCATACATATGCTTGTGCAAAAATGTATGCATCCATCTATATTAATCAAAGGCACTCAGATAAGTTCCATAGTATTTTTTCATTAAAGTGTAGACCTACCGGTGAGAAAGAGGAATAGTGAAGTTTAATGGTCATGGATTACCATGGGTGACCATCTGTTTCGCCCTAAGGATTTGCATAATAAAGAGTGTGACTGATACCTGTGTTTTATTTTTATCAGAAGGATATTAAGATGGCTGCCAGGTCATTCACACTATGTGCTAAAAATTTTTTGGTAGTGCAAATTGTTAATAAATTCAATTAATGAAAGAGACATTGGGATGAAGATTGGCTAAACAATGAGAGACAAAATTGAAAAATAATGCATTTATTGAAGTTTCAAAGTTGTACCCCCGAGGGCAAACTAAGATAGTATTATGTGAACGAAGAAAGTATGATAATATGTTTTAGCGTATGTGCCATATAGATCATTGACTATCTTGACAAAGCGATTCAGATTGAAGGAGCCACAAGCATGAGACCTAAGAAATTATAACCCGTTTATCATACATGGATTTTCTTTGCTTTATGTAGACAGATCCAACTTAAGTTTGGCATTACTGTTTCCGTTAAGTAAGATGTTTAGTTTTCTTGAGGAATTTAAAAACTTCTTCCTGTTTTTGTGGGGTGTAATAAATCTATTAGTCAATGGTGGTACAACAGAATTTCCAATTGGGTAAAGGGAGCTTGTCATTCTCACCTCTTTGGGTGAGCTTGTCATGCAAGAGTGAGCTACATATTCATGTCTGCAATTAGGAATGTATTTTAATTTCTTTTTAATTTTTTCTGTTGGTGATCATCTATCTCCACTCATTTTGATATGAGAGTTTTGAATGCTTTAAGAGCTTCAACTTGAATTTTTATTTTAAAGGCTATTATTGTCCTTTACCTAGCTATGTACAAGACGACCTTTTCTACTGAATACTAATTGAGTTTTGTTGTCCAATATGTAGGCCTATGCCTCTTATATGAAGGGAAATTTATTGTTTGAACAAGAAGAGACTTGGCATGTTGCATTAAAGAGTGCCAGGTAAATCCTAGCGCCTTAAATGTTTTGAACATGTTCAATTCTGCATAATGCTAAAGTTAAAATGCCTGTGATTCCTCTTCATGAGTGAATTCGCAAGTTGGATTTACTTGCAAATCCTGTGGCATGTTTCTTATCTTGGTTCCTTGAAGACCAATTATTTCCCTTCCCATTTGCCATCTAGGATGTTCCTCCTGTCACAAAATGTGTCCTTTTCTTTTGTTAGCTGGTCATCTCCTTTACGTGTGTGTTTTTTATATGCTAGGAACACGAATCAAAAGGTGGGCTTAGGAGCACCCAGTGCCTGATTAGATGGCTAAAAACTTGTTTGGGAAGGTTTAGGTTTCATGTTTGAATAATTTCCATTGCGCTGTCTTACTGGAATTGAATCTCTGTAATTGCCTAATTCATTTTGGATAGTTTATCCCTTTTGAATGTGAGGATTAATTATGTGCTCAAAGTGGCTTGTCTATCTACTTGTAGCCAATAAAGATTTAATATGCTGGCTAACTTCATTAGTTTAACAGGGCTGTTTATGAGGAGCTCGGGAAATATGGAGACTTGGAGAATCAAAATTGTGCCGTGAACGTGTGCAGGAACTGGACCCAAATATACGGTATTGCCTACACAAATTGGCGAATCAAATTTACAAACTTCTGAACTCGTACACTTAGATGAAATGGAAGGACCTGCATTGGATCTTTTTAACACTAAACTGGAGGTGAGTATACCAAACATACCATTACTGGTGTCTGTGTAGTTGATTTATTGTTCCAGGAAGTTTTCTTCATTTTATCTTCTGCGTTTGTTTCTTCGCATATGAATAACTGAAAAAGAATGACTCAGCATGTGTTACTGGCCTTTAATCTTGTCTTGCATTCTCTTCATTTACAGGCTGTTATGGCCGAGGCTATAGGTCTCAGCAGGCTGCATCTATGACAGAATTTAATTGGCTAGGTCATATATTTCCAATTTCAAATTCCAAGACACTGGTTGCCATATTGAAAGGTCAGTAATCATTCTCTTACATAAAACAAAAGGTATCTTCGTTTCAAAGGACAATGGAATTGCCAAGTATGACTAAATGCTAGCTTCAACTTCTTTTCTATTCTGCTATCAATATTCTTTGAACACGATATAGAAATCATCGACTTCTCATTGTATCATCTGCAATCCCTCCCCCCTCCTTTATATTTCTTACCAGATTTTGTCCAAGCAGTGTTTGATGGAGTTTCTGCATTAGAAAACCTTGCAGAAAAAGACATCTTCTACTTGAACATCTATTAGGAAAAATTGAGCCTGGACAATGTATTTTTCTTGCCCTTAACCCTATGTTTGGGTTGCAGATTGAGCAAGGGAATGAAAATGGAATAAGGGAAAAGTGAAGGTGGATGAATTCCCTTATATTTCTTTTGCTTGTCAAATAGCATCCCAAATTTTAGAGTTTCTCAAACTTGTTTATTAATTATAAAAAAAAAAATTAGAAACTGCATGCTTTTCATTGTATTTTTCTTTTCCTTCCCCTCACTTAATTCATGAAAAAGGTGTTGCATATGTTACTCCATTTTGCAATTTTCTGTGGAAGTAGAGTATGAATTTGATTCTATGCTTTTGTATACATTGGGTGATGTACTCCTGCATAAGATGGTATGAATCTTATGTTGGGCAGTGGAAGAATAGAGCCTTTTGGGGTGGGTTATGGCTTCTTTACTTTTGCAAGATTAGTAGGAATTTGGGATTTAGGTCTGTAAAAAGTATAACAAAAGGGAAGAGGGCTATATTAGGGCAAGAAACAGAGAGCTTTGGGGTTGTTTAGGGTGCTGTGAACAATAACAAGGCTGGTCATGTAGGAGTTGAAGAGTGGAATAAGTAGGTTCAGGAGACAACTTTTAAGGTGGTAAAAGATGATGAGAACAGATCTCACCATAGGCTAAACAAAGCATTAAAGTCCGGTTTTTTGATACATCAGAAGTAGGAGAAGAAAAAGTGAAGAGAACAGAAGTCAGGTTTCTCTGTGGAAATGTAGGAAAAACACACATAAGACTAATTCTTCATGATTTTATGATCTGTTGGTTAGGGAGATAAACTAGCTGTCTATATGCTACTCGGTTTTCCTTATCCTATTTGAAAATAGAAAATTAAAACTCTGATTTTTCTGGACTATCTAAGAGACTCTAAATAAAGCCCAAATATTGACTGAATGGACGAGGCCACTGCTAATGTAATGTCCCCAAATTATAGAAAAGAAGGAAATGACCTTGACATCTAAAGACTTGGTGAAACAAAAATAATTTATTCCTGCAGCTTATGATCTTAAAACTATATTAAGATTTGACTGTGTTTAAGCCAGACTTGGTTAGGCAAAGTTTTAAATAATCTCCATGTGAAAATCTAGTTTCCCTCTTTCTTCTTGTTCTCAGGTTCGCCATTTGATGTCTTGTTGATTTATATTACTGTCTTATGAATCTAAACCCACTCTTAACCATTGTCAATTATGTGGGAAATTCAATCAGCTCGGGAATTGGAGAAAGATCTTCATGGTCCAGCAGCAAACTCTCTTCCAGCTGAGAAACGACTTATCATGTTCGACAAACTTTTTTCTGCCTATCATGATGCCAGAAGTTGCATCCGTAGTGACTTGGTATGGAGTGTTGGTAATTTAATGGAAAAGTATGCTTATATGTCATTGGTTGTTATATGCTTATATTCATTATTTCCTTTTACTCCCACCCCATGGTGCATTGGCTTTGATCTTTGTGAAGCAGCTGAATTATTTAATAAATTAGAGAATGAATTGTTTCTGAGGATAATTTTTCATTAGATTGATTCTATCATTCTGCTTGTTTTAGGCTACTGCATGTAATTCTGAAAGCATGAAGGATGATTTGAGTGGCCTTGATAAAGCTATAGCTGCTGTCTTAGGGCAACGAACTATTGAGCGGAACCAGTTGTTAGTGAGCATAGCCAAAAACAAACTTAATAAGGTCCGAGATGACAAAAATGAAAAAGTTACCAAGCCTGATGAACTTGTCCGGTTATTTGATCTTTTATTACAGGTGAGAGGCCACACTTCTGAAGTCTTATTGCTCGTCACATTTTTTATATTGCTATCTGCACCTAGAGCTGCATTAGATCAAAGAAGCAGTTGTTTTATCATCACTTCACTCGAGTAACTTTTCTTAATATTGGCAGAATACAGCTGATCTTTCTGATTTAGTTTGCTCTGGAAGAGATAGAAAACCAGAAGAAGTGGCATTTGCTGAAGAATGTGAACTCAAAAGTTCGGTATTCCGAGCCGAGAGGTTTGCTTCTTATTAACACTTCAGGTCCTAATGAGCAAATTGAACTATCCATGTGGCTGAGAGCCCTCACAGCCCAGACACAATGACACAATTATCGGGGGGCGCGCTTATCATATGTTTACTCTCCGAACAAACCTTTAATTAGATAAAATGTTACTTTTATTAACATCTGTAGGGATTGCACCATTTCTTTCAATAGGACTACTATGCTAAAATAATACCCTCACTTTATCTTTTGTTGTGTTTTTTGTTTTGTTTTCTTACAACTCGTACACAACTGTGTCAAAGCCTTTCTTAACCCTTTTAGTTAGTCTGGTCAGCCTAGTCCCGTATTTGCTGAACTAAAATACCTACCTTTAAGTGCTTGCAAAATTAAGAATCCTGTTTGGCTTACAGTTGGATCTGTATCCTCTTAAACCTAAATTGTTTTGTGGCTTGGTCTAGAGAAGGTGTTATACTATATAAGTAATTGAACGCATATATTTGTGCTAATATAATATAGAATTGGTAGTGTTTGTTTGCAGTTGGTCTCTCATGTCCTGTTTCACAGTGTTACCTTATTGAGCCATATTTATGTCATAAATGATTGGCTGTCCCAATGTGTCAGGTCACTTGCTCCCCTTCAACATGAAATTGAACCAATTATTGCTTTTGTTCAAATTGATCTTGGTTATATTCCATAATCGTCTCATTGTGCCCCTAACCGTTGTTGGCCGTGGTATATCTTCTATTGTGTCTTTGTCTTGCCAGATCTAGTTCAGATTATTTCTTTCCATTTGCCATCGTCTTATTTGTTTCTTAACTAAATAGCATTTTGTACCAAACCAAACCCACCCCATATCACTTAGATTGTACGGTGTAATGTGGGATCAATTTAAGTTTGTTTATACTCTTCTCCGTTGTCATTGTGTTTAATGATATTTTTTTAACTAGTCTGGCTCCATTGATGTCGTTAATGATTTCATCAATTCTTTTTCATCAGTCATGTTTTATGTTTTGGGAGATATTTTTTGGCTTGCCTTGATCTTTCAACCATCTCATGGAAGCAGGTCAAAGCAATTGTGATTTTGGTGTTTTTAATGCTGAGCAGCCTGTTTTCACATTTTGTTTAACAGCACAAAACTGTCCTAATCCCACAACACAAACATCGTATTCATGCCACGCACGGGTTAACCAGGATTCTCTTGCGAGCTGAACTTACCTCGAAGTCTTCCCATTCAAGCCACTCAGATTGGTTGCCTGTTTTCACTTTGGTCCCTCATGAATATATATGGGTTTGAGACTGTCCAATTTTTTCAATGCACGTAGATATTAGTTTGTTATCAAAAGGTGTATGGCATTTCTTTTTTAAATGTTGGCATCTTTTGTCTTCTTGTTTATGCTGAATTGAGTAGCTTGGTGACTGATGTAGGAAATTACTCTTAATTTTCTATGTATTACTTCTAGGAAGTGTATTGCACCCAAATTTATGAATTGGATTATTATTTTTTCTTGGGTAAAAATCATAGTTAATCCAGAATTTGACAGCTGAACTTTCAATTGTCTCAATTTAATCCCTCAACTATTAATTTTGTCTCAATTAATTCTTTCTATCCATTTCTACTATTAGATCAACACTGAAATGGATCAGATTAAGCTAGTCTCCAGTTGATCTAACGATGGTTAGATCAACACTGAAATGGATTAGATTACGCTAGTATCCAGTTGATCTAAGGATAGAAGTTGATGGAAGGATTTAATTTAGATGAAATTGAGACAATTGAAAGTTTAGGGACCAAATTAAAATTGGAGGCAAAGTTCAGGGACCAACTATGATTTTTATCCTTTTTTCTTTCACCATTCTACATGTCTAGCGTTGTATTATCTAGTTCTCATACTGACGATCATGGTGTTTCTGCTTTGCAGATTTGTACATTTGATTCTGCTTGACTGTTCTCTTTGATAACAAGTTTCTAGAAGACATTCAAATTTTACATAGTTTTCTCAGCTCAGATTTGATTGGAAGATCTGCCTCTCGATTTGTTGGCAGGTGCTTTTACTTGGCTAAATCCTACAGTTCTGCTGGAAAGAGGACAGAAGCATATGCATTGTATTGCCGTGCTCGTTCTATAGCTGATACAGCCCTTATAAAAATTCAGAATTTGACAGCTGCTGATCGGGTGTGTACATTCACGTAGGCCTTTTCGTTTTGGTGACTGTTTAAAAGTACTTTTCTTAAATTGGTCAATGTATCATACCTAAGACCCTATTTACCGATGCCTCTCATGCTCATCATTTACATTCACACTTTCTTCCTGACTTCGTATCAGAATGAACTCTTTTATTGTTTCCTTGTCTCACTTACATAATAAGTATTTAGTAGATGCTGCCAGGAATTATTTACCTTCACAATTCAACAAACTCTTCTTGCTAGGTAATGAGTTGACTGCCTTCAATTCATTTCTGTTTTTAATCCAATAACAGGTAATGATCAAGGAGTTGAAGGTGATATATAATGACAGCAGATCCAACAGTTGTATAGAGCATGCAACTGGTATTATGGAGGTGGAGAAAGCTCCAGAGAATCTCTCAAAAAAGATCTCTACCTTGTCAATAACTGTAAATGACAAGGTATTTCATGTTTCCACTTGCTTTTCTCTAATAAAAATTTGAGTACAATAGAAGGTAGAGGTGACAATTTTAACCTATTACACATCAATCCATCCAAGCTGCCCATAAATAAATGGGTTTGGTACCCATATTAATTCATGCGAGTTCTAAATGGGTTGGGTAATATGATTTATTTTAATTAAGCGGGTTAATACGGATTATAAATGGATACCCATTGGATTAAATATTTATCTTTCTTTTAAATGACACAAGTAATAAAATTAAATAAATATACTAATATACCAAAAAATACACACACTAATATACCAAAAAATACACACTAATATACCAAAAAATACACATATTAACACACCAAAAACACGCACTAATACACCACCCATGACCCGTGGGCTGACCCATGGACCATAGTCGACCCCTACCCATTATGTGCGTATTTTTTTTTTATTAAATGTGTTTAAGTTTTTGTGTTAGTATATATGTATGTATTTTAGTGTATTAATGTGTGTATATTTATATTTTGGTGTACTAATGTGTGTGTGAGTGTGTTTTGGTGTGCTAATATGTGTCTATTAAGAAATTTAATTATTTTATGGGTTAATGGGTTTAACCTAACCCGTCATACACTCAACCCATTATAATCCATTTAATACGTGAGTGAAAAATAGATTGGATTTATTTTTTAACCCAACTCAATTTAACACAACCCATAACCAACTCAAGTCATCCATTTGCCACCTCTAATTGAAGGGATATTCCGAATCTCCTCTGTTAACAACAGCAGCAACAATGATGCCGCCAATTTAGATTCGGAACATTTTATCACAATTTAGCAGCTGCTATTTTATGTGTCACTTCTATAAGGATTGACTTCGTAGCAGCCCATATGTAGAAAGTGAAGCAGTTGTGTCAGAAAAGCGTACTGTTTTTTGGCGCCTTCATTTATTATTTTGATACAGGATTATGTTTGTTTGTTGTGCTGGTCATTGAATAATACTAGTTGTTCAGGAGGGGGGGGGGGGGGGGGGGG